CCCACGACGAGAGAGAGAAAGAGAGAGGGGGAGAGAGACAGGAGGGAGAGAGAGAGAGAAAAGACGAGAGGGAAGAGGGGATGGAGAGAGCCGCGAACGAGAGAGAGTAGGAGAGAGAGAGGCCTGCGACGGAGAAAGAGGAGGCGCTGCCGAACGAGAAAAGAGAGAGAGAGAAAGAGAGAAAGAAAAGAGTATAACGAGAGAGAGAGGTGGGGAGCACTGAAGAGAGAGAAAGAGGAGGACCACTAGAGTGAGAGAGAGAGAAAAAAAGAGAGAGAGAGAGAGGAGGGAGAAGAGAGGTAGAGAGAGAGAGAGAGAAGAGAGAGACGAGACGAGAGAGAGAGAGAGAGAGAGGATAGAGGAAGAAGAGAAGAGAATTTTGGCAGTGTAGAGATAAAATATCATGTATTTGCTCACTGTTTTCCGTTATTGCTCCGGTCCATGTAGAGCAGTTGATTGAGTTCAACATACATCCGTCTTATTCCCCGTCGAGTCCATGCGCATCAATTGTTTAACAGATTTGTTAGTTACGGCGTCACGTGTGCAGCACTCAGTCCACATGTTTCACAAACACAACTATGGCATTATGGAACGAACCTAAAAGATCTTTCTAACTTAATTAATAGACCGAACGCCGGTCCAAACGATCAAATAATTTGTATCATATAATTTTATGTACAGCTGATGTCAATTAAAGCACTGATTTTTGCACCCATAAAGCGTCGTCTTTCCTGTTCAATTGGAAGATTTCTTAGTTTCTTCACTTTATCGCAATAGATTACCACGAGCGCGATAAAATTAACGAATCAATGTATTTGCGTTACTTAGGCTATAGGTGGCGCGCATTACGAGACAGATCACGTAGACATTTGCCGATTGAGAAAATTCAAGCAATCAATGTTCATAAAAAAATTATAAAAAGGTTTTTTCTTGCAAGATAAACTATATTTACATCTAGCGGTTTTAATTTATTTTTTTTTTCTTTAATCCTAATACTAATTAAAGTGAATCGTGTAGTGTTAGGAAGCATGAAGCGCATAGTGCTGACCAATCATACCCTGTCGAAATTTATTAACTCTGCAGTTAATTATTAAAAGGTCAAAACGTGACCACGCTGACTACGCATGAATTATTCTCATGATAAACCTTAAACTTTCGCCCACACGTCTATGTAAACAACAACAAATATAACAACACCCGCAACAAAAAGCAAATAACAGCAACGTCTTCGTTAGTGGCAATTATCAACGATATTCTAAATAAGAACCAACAAGTTATTCATCGCTCTCTCTCTACTCTCTCTCTCTCTCCTCTCTCTCTCTCTCTCCTCATCGTTTCGGCGTGCGCTCTTCTCTCTCTCTCTCTCTCTCTCCTCTTTCTCTCTCTCTCTCTCTCTCTCTCTCTCCTCTCTGCTCTCTTTCCTTGCTTCTCTCTCTCTCTCGCGCTCTCGCGGGGTTCTCTCTCTTTCTCTCGCTCTACTGTATCTTTTTCCTTCTCTTCTCACTCTCTCTCTTTCTCTCTCTGCGTCTTCTCTCAGTCCTATTCATCTCTCTCTCTCCTCCTCGTGTTCCTTTCTCCTCTCTCTCTCTCTTTCTCTCGCTCTCTGTAATCTCTTTCCTTCTTTTTCCTCTCTCTTCTCTCTCTATATATATATAACATTTAAGTTGTAACGTGTAAGACTTAAAGTGATGAAATATATACTGATTCTATAGTATAAACACCTATTAGATGTCAATACTAACGACTCATAGATACACAGCGCCCTCTATCGCATCGAAGGGCGCTGGCGTTCTGTGCACTCGGCATTTATGAACTTTTCACGTTCTAAGCATGGCGGGAAGGGTCGCACACGTTTTGTTAACTGTCGTATGTAAATATTACAGACAGTTTTCCTCAAGAAGGAAACGTTTAACTATGGCTGCTGGTGCGTGTAGGATGCGTATAGCATGATGATTCCGTGAGAAACAGACTGTTAACAACATTATCTAATCATTGTTTGTTTCACATCTGAACACGGAACCCACTTCATTGCTGCTCAACTGTATCTGTTGTTTGTGTCGGCCGTAGATATTTTCATCAGTCCATCATTCTGTCCATCTGCGCTGCGAGAAACAAGTTATTCAATTATTTGTTCAACGCCGGTCGGACCAGAGGCGACACCTGTCGGCAGATAATGAAGAAAATTCGTCCGTACAAAACAGCGATTGACGGGCGCCATCACGACACAAGCTATCACCAGGTGGCGCTGACGGCACAGCGCTACATCAGGAGCGACGCGACGGTCGCCATGACGACGACGACGCAGACGACGGCAGCACGCAGAGCGACGCCCGTTGCCGTGGCAACCGCGTCGACGTCCAGATCGCGCAGGAAAACCGTCTCCACGTCCGGCGACATCCAGGGGATGACGAGCTGCGTGACGTCGCTTCCGGAAGCGGAAGAGGAAGAGGAGCGGAAGTAGACGGCCGTGTCGATCTCCTGACTGCTGTTGGTGATGAACCAGAGCAGACCCGTGAACTGCATGCGGAATCTGTCCCCGCGCACGCGCACCAGCCTCCCGACGCCAGTCTTCCCGTGACGGAACCGCAGCGCCACCTGCCTGCCGCCGCCGTCGTCGTCGTCGTCGGCCGCGCTCAGCGTCACGTACGTGTACCCGAGCCCGTAGTGCCCGTACCGGCCGACGTAATCCGCCAGGGGGCGCTCGTGCTCCGCCCCTTCATCCTGCTCGTCGTCAGGTGGCGCCGTCGCTGCGCCGACCTTCCCCCAGGGGGCGGGGAACGAGCATGCGGTGGTGGCGTTGAGCCACGTCGTTTCTCCGGCGAGCAGGTCCGTCGTGTAGTAGAGGATGGTTTCTATCGCGCGCACGGCCGCGGCGTCGTTCGGTCCGTTAGTCAGGACGACGATGCCGGCGTTCAACCCCGGCAGCAGCCACAGCTGAGAGTCGTAGCCGAAGATGTTGCCGCCGTGGTAGACGCGCTCGTAACCTAGCAACGGGAGAAGGGGGAGGCTGTGTTACCATGGCAACCGCGGGCACGGTCTTGTGATTTATCGATGATGTTACCGCCGTGGTAGACGCGTGCGTAACCTAGCAACGGGAAGGGGGATGATGTGTTACTATGGCAACCGCGGGCGCGCTCTTATGATGACTCTTTTAGGGGTTTAATGTTGGAGTTGGACGCCAGGGTACGCTAGCGTTCAGTGGAGGCGATGAGATGTTTACCCGAGATTAAAATTAGATAGAAGAATTCGATTTTATAATTATTTCGAATCGCATTGTGAAACTATCAGGCAATATAAGAAGACGATGACGATGAAATGAAATCATCTCTCGGATAATTAATGAGGTTTAAAGACGGCAATCCGCTAATTTAATAAACGAGGAATGTTCTACTCTGCATGTAAATTTCGCTAGCGCTTCAATCAATGAGCAGAGCACGTACTGTATTGATTACACGGCAATAATTATGTAACCAAAACTAAACTACTGTCTAGGCACATTAGTAATTATTTTTCCTCTCTAATGCAGTTTCTCGCGGCGGCTTACTATGGTTGACCAACGTACTCAGAAAATTATTATATTTACTGCGGTAGAAATAATTCAACCTCAGTCAAATTATGGCCCTCTTTACCCATTCAGAGACCTTTTTCCACGTTATTTCTACGGCCGTAAAAATAATTTATCCTCAGTAGAAATAGTTTATCCGCGGTAGAAATAGTTTATCCGCGGTAGAAATAGTTTATCCGCGGTAGAAATAGTTTATCCGCGGTAGAAATAGTTTATCCGCGCGTTAAGAAAATAGTTTTATCCGCGGTAAGAAATTGTTATACCGCGTAAGAATAGTTTATCCGCGGTAGAAAATAAGTTTATCCGCGGTAAAGAAATAGTTTATCCGCGGTAGAATTAGTTTATCTCGCGGTAGAAATAAGTTTTATCCGCGCGGTAGAAAATACGTGTATCCTCGTAGAATCAGTTACTGTCCAGCGGTAGAATATGGTCCTTATCCGGCGGTAGAATTAAGTCTTATCCATGGTAAGAATAAGTTTTATCCGCGGTAGAAATCAGTTATCCGGCGTCAGAAAATAGATTTATCCGCGTAGAAAAGTTTATCCGCGTACGAATAGTTTAAATACCAGCGTATATAACACGTTTATGCGCATGTAGAAATATTGTTTGTTATTTCTTATCCGCGGGTAGACAATACGTTATCCGCGGTACGAAATAGCTTATCCCATGGTAGAACAATAGTTTAATCGCGTAGAAATAGTTATCCGTGTAGAAATAGTTAT